TGCCTCAGCTGGAGCAGAAACTTCAGTGCAGAGACAGCAAATGACTGCACACAGGGGATCCTCTGACCTGCTAGGACTCAGCTTCCTCCCAGACTCTTTCTTGTTTGGAATATCTAGAGATTGCATTGCTACACACTGTTAATTTTCTTTTTTGTTTTTATTATTTGCATATGGTTCATATTTATTGGTAACATAAATGGCACACAGGCAGCATTTGATGCCCACCCAGGACATTAGAACTATCCATGTTTTCAAGATGATACCATCAAATTCCTTTTTTCCCCTTTACTACAATCATGGAGCAGCTGAATAGAGTCAGATATATCTTTTCTAGGCTGCACTTTGGTTGCAGTCCTGGAAAACATTTTATCTGAGTTAGAAACATTTACATGAACTGAGTGATATGAGTAACATATTTCTGCCAAAAGAACTTCAGGATGTTGTTACCCCGTATTAACCTCTGAAGGATGAATGGATGGATAGCCTGAGATAGATAGATAAAGGTATGCAATAGGATGAGAGGAAATGGCCAGGGGAAATTTAGATTGGATATTAGGAAAAATTTCTTCATTGAAAATGTTGTAAAGCATTGGAAAAGACTGCCCAGGGCAATGATGGAGTCACCATCCCTAGAGGGATTTAAAGCCCCAAGATGTGGCACTTGGGGACATGCGTTAGTGGTGACCTTGGCAGTGCTGGAAGAGCCGTTGGATTTGATGATCTGTTTGCAACCTGAACGATTCTGTAATTCCATGAAAAAAAAAAAAAATATATATGTTGCTTTCTGCTTGACAAAGAGATTAAAGCTGCATCCCACCCATTCCATGATTAGATCTTCATCCTGAGAATATGAGATAGATAGATAGATAGATAGATAGATAGATAGATAGATAGATAGATAGATTCTGTTTCTGTGAATATAGATTAAGCTGCTGCTTTTCTCCTTTTCTTCATCTGGAATATTTTCTGCCTCTCAGGGGAGAGGCAGCTCACTCTCATTAGCTCATGTAGCAGCAGGAGAGAAAAAGCTGCTGGCTCCTGAGGAATTCAGAGGCCTGAGGTGCCCCAAGCCTTCCTGTGAGGTTGCTAAGGGATCAGGAGATCTTTGTGGAGCACTCCAGGCTTGGGGCTGGCACTGCAGGCAGCTCTCCTGCCCTTATGCTTCCTGCAGAGAGAGATGGAAAATATGCTGGCAATCTGGAGCTCCCTGGCCCACTCCTTTCCTTCTTCTCTGCCTCCCCACTCCACCCCCACGGTGGGACTTCTAATAAATCTCTCAACAAACAGATGAATGTCCTAGAACTGAAAGGCAGAGAGAGCTGGGATTGTTCAACCTGGAGAAGAGGAGGCTCCAGGGAGACCTTGTTGTGGCCTTTCAGTACTTAAAGGGTGCTTATAAAAAAGATGGGGGCAGACTTTTTCAGCAGAGACAAGATAGGATGGTTTTAAACTAAAAGATTTAGATTTGACATAGGGAAGAAAGTTCTTACTGTGAGGGTGGAGAGGCCCTGGAACCAGGTTGCCCAGAGAAGCTGTAGATGCCCCATCCCTGGAAACATTCAAAGTCAGTTTGGATGAAGCTCTGAGAAACCTGGTCAAGTGGAAGGTGTCCCTGCCCATGCCAGGGGGCTTGAATTAGATGACATTTAAAGGTTTCTTCCAAGCTAACTCATCCCGTGATTCCATGATTTTGGAGTAGATCCCCGAAACTGCAGGGGAGCAAGTGGAAACACCACCTGTGTGTGGGCCTAAGGATGACAAAAGGAGGTCTGAATCAGATGGTGTTCTTCTTTCTGGGAGATCCATAGGGAATAGCAAAAAAATACCCAACAAATTAACTGCAATTTCACTCTTAAAGCTTTCAGGGGACCCTGAGTTTGTCCTTTATAGTTCCTGCATGTGTTTCGCATAGTTTTCCTGTATCAAAAATATTTATTATATTCCGCTCAATTAATGTGAAAGTGCAGGTTCTCAGCTCTCACTACCAATTTCATAGGAAACATTATGTTTTCCCATAGAGACATGTTATTATAGTGGTACTTGATGTAGTCAAATTCTGATTATTTCACTGCTCCACTAACTGAATTTCTGTTTATTAACATAAATTTCGCTGATCTTCAGAGGTAGGATTTTTTGCTTTCCAGGTACGTCTTGAATGTCTCCTCCTCTAATTAATCATTTATGATGTTAAATTTTAACATTCAACCCCCTCCTCCCCAAAACTAATGTCTTAAAAAGTATGTTTATCTAATAGCATCAGACACTTATAATTATTTTAATATATTTTTCCACAAAACAGATCTAGGTTAATGCCGAGTTCATCTTCCTGCTATAATTTAAATTTTCCTGGTGTTAAAGAACCATAGGAGATAGACATCTTTTATTGAAAGAGTACCTGTTTTGTGATTGGTTAAAAATGTGAAATGCAGAGAAAACCTGTTATTACTGAGGTCATATTAACTGTGAAGATATTATTTCTCATTGGAGGCACTTAAAGCAATAGTTTTGAGAAATACTACTTTGGATAAAAAAGGAGTTTATATAATAAGAAATATCCTACCTCATAAGTGATAACTGCAAGACACCTCTTGAGTTCTGTGGATGACAAGGATACTTTATCAGAAGTTTAAATAACTGCTAAAATCACATTTTATCCAGATAAAATGAGGAAAAGTACTCTATTTTATACCATAGTCCCAGGCTGAACTGGCTCTGTCGTCAGTGTGGAAAATAATTTTCAGGACGCATCTCTAATTGTTTGTTTGTGAGGAGAAGGAGGACTAAATTGGCATAATTTAATGGATGGCATTCCATCCATAGTTTCAAGTCCATGTTGAATGGATAGAAGTGTAATTATTGCAAACATAGATCATAAAATTCATCCCACAGTTTTCTACTCTCTGCACGTGGTCAGTCTGGACCTCAATTAAACCTGAAATGCTGGGTTTGTTACCAAACTTCAGATTTCAGTAAGTCAGGACAACCTACTGAACAAAACATGAAGTTTTACAGATTTTTCCATGCCCAGAAAATCTTCATTTACCTCTTGTTCCATTTTAAGACTTTATTCTTTCTATTTGTCAAGTGGGGGGTTTTTTGTTTTAATCAGAGCACATTTGTTTTCTAGTTTTAGTGCAATTCACTGGTGGCACTGTGTGTGTAGTGTTTACCTCATTTTTGTTTCTCAAGGATATTAGTGACTAGAAATAATCTGGAAATGTTTGTACTGTGGCATTTGGTTTGACTACACTGATATCATATTTTTCCCATTTTTCTACACTGAACTTTTAAGATAACAGGTTCTGTTTCAACATTAGAAATTGAAAAAACAAAGTTGTCCCATTAATTCAATGAAATTCCTCACTGTACAAAATTTAATGATGTAAGTAACTCATTTTGGAGTTTATGTGCATGTACATACCTTGCCTGCTAAGGTCTTAAACAAAAATTAAAATTAGATAAATTTTGAACTTATGGTTTTCCACGTATAAGAAATTGAGGAAGACAAAAAGATGATGCCATTCATTGCATGTTTGGCTTGATAAAGATGCCAATATTATTAATACAGAGCTCTAGGGTTTGTTTGTTGGTTGCTTTTGGCCTGTGACAATAATAGATTAGATATTTTATTTGTAGATGTGGTCAGCAGCATGATTTTGTGGTTCTATAAACATTTTTTAGATGAACCACACAAACAGGTAGAACTGATGGCAAGCACTGTGGTAATGAGTTTATTTGCCCTGTTTTACCTTGTGTACAACTTTTTGTGAGATAAAATAGTTACTTACTGGAACCTACATTTTTGTATGTGCTCATTTGAGGAAAGTTCACAAAGTTTAGTGTTTAAGTGTTTTGAAAGTTTATCAAAATACATTTATATATTTTTAATCTCTCAGTGAACAGCAATTGAAATGGAAATTGCTGAAAACAAGGTTGCAGGAGACCTATAGCCATCAAAGAATTGAGAAGAGGATTATGGTTGTGTGGGATCTTAGAGCAAAATATAATTGTAGCCTGAAGTGAAAGACAAACTTCTCAAAGGTATATGAAAAATGTTGATAGCCAAACACAGCTAAAGAAATCAATCTGAAGTCCTTTATAAGCTCTTATATATATAACCTATACATGAGACACTTAAAAGATCTAAAATAAGTCTGTACTTAATGAACAACTGGGATTTATTCATAGTTTTCTATGTGCAGTGTGTTACTTCATATTGGGTGCCTCAGTTGCTTGAAAATTTGCCTCCCACACTTGTAACACCTCTGTGAACGTTGCACCTTTTTGCTTTGTGTTTCAGCTTGGGAAATGTGGGAATGTGACAGGAACAATGTTGTTTGTCTTCTCCCTTCCACCTCCCCACCCCCACTGCCCCTGTCAACTGCTTAGACCTTGCCATGGATGTTTCCTATAAATCCCTCAGAAATGCAGTTCTTGGTCATGTGGACTGTTAAGAGATGTATGCCGTATTTTTAGGGTGCTTATTCCATAACTGGAATGTTTCATAGTTCAAAGCAGTTGTAAGGAATTATTGTGTCTCCAATTTTCTTTTTCCATGATGATAAGCATTTGTTTGGCTTTTTTCTTCGCTCAAACTGAATGAATGCAGTCCAGGAGCTGATTGATACAGGCTTTATTCCCAAGCCTTGTCCATACTCTTTTGCCTCCTCTTCCTTTTCAATCAACATCCATCATATCATAGTAGGATAAAGTAAACTCAGATAAATATTATTTGGATGAGCTTTGATTTTCTTTTACTTTGCTAATCTGATCAAATTATTGTAATTTTAAATATCCAGAGGTTTAAGTGCATTCCCTGATCCATATGCTAATATATATATTTTAGTTGTATCATTGTAGTAAAAAGGAGTCCATGTGATTATTGTGTTATATTAGAGAGAAAAAGAAAAATAGTTGAGTTAAACAGAAATCTGATTTGACAGTATTTTTTCCTCACAGGTATCAAGTAATTTTTTGTGTTAGATTTGAACATGCATGAGAAAAAAAAACATTTAAAAAGAGATAGATTTGGGGAATATCAGATGAAGTAGCTGGAAATCTCAAACAATGAACTTCTGGCTCCTATGTAAAAGGTAATTGTTGGGAATAGTGTAAGGTATTATTTTTAATCTGTGATCAATACACACAGCTGCCACGGACTGCAGTTATTTCAAATTCTATATGAATTGTTGGGGGTTTTTTGCTACTAAATATATTGCTGAGATTTACACACCTGTAATTTTTAGTTTCTGGTTGTGCTGGATTAAATGCACAATGCAAGTTCCAGCTTCCTTATTATACTGAACAAGTTTCTTGAATAGAGCAAAAATACTTTGTACAAGTGACCTCTGCTTGATTTAGCCTGTAACTCCTGTATTAAACTTTTTTTGTAGACCACATGTGCCCTTTTAGGAGGCAGAGTTAGCAGGACCAGAGCAAACCTGGCACATACAGGTGACACACCAGTGGTGGGGACCTTTCAACCACAGTTTTTGGCGACAAGGGCTACAGCTATAAATCATTTGGGTGAAAAGATCATACCCTTAACTGCTTGTGTTGGCTGTTGTTTGCTTCAAACCCCATTCGACTGCCACCTAATCTGTGGATATTTGGACTTTTCCAGGTCTGGGAATTGCAGTCTGAGAAGTCAGGGACATAATCCATTCCTGACCCTCGTCTGGGTCAACAAACCACTGTTCTGCTTGGATTGCCTCAGTAATTAGACCTTCAGTGAGAACCTGGAGTGCAGGAGCAGGCCATTATATTTTTCCTTCCAAACTAGAGCCCTGTCTTACCCAGCAGCTTTTTATTTGGTCGGGAGGAAGGATGCCTGTGATCCGATGTCTCTGATCCATTGCCTGCTTTGTGTTAATGCATTTTGTGTTGAGATTCACTGAGATGGAGGCAGGGAACAAAAGGAGCTCTCTTAGAATGTGTCTCGAGTCTTATTCTAAATTGGATTAAAGTGAAAATCATGCTTTTCTCGAAGAGTGGTCTCTGGCGTGTCTATACCAAGAACTAATTATCACACAGAGATCAAGCCTAAGCCCCCATAAGTGGAAGAAAGCACCTCAGCTTGACAAAGTGTGGGGTATTAGACATACTGCCCTCCTGAGCCTTTCCTGTTATCCAAGGATATCCTCCTTTGGTGAACTGGAGCATGGATGGCATTTTGAGGTGTCTGCTTTTTCCTCTGTGTGTATGCTTAAAATACATATATGGTGGGTTTTCCTGTGAGTAGTAAGAGGGAAACCCTAAAAATGTTGAGTGAGTGCCTGCTCCACTTATGGATATGGGCTGGGAATTGGGACGTGTGTCAGGCCCTCTTGGTCAGACATGGAGCTGCTACTCTGAGCTGTTAAAGCAGGGAGGGAGAAAAGGACAGACAGTGACAGGTCCATCTCACAATAGAGATCCAAGTGTCAGGAGAGATGTGGGATCCCTGTTCTTCTCTTGGTTTGATGTCCTCAGGTTGGAGCATATCCCTCATGGATGTTCCCCAGCCTTATCCTTCCTCTGCCTGTGCCTGAGCTCTTTTTGCCTTGCTAAGGGATATTTGTGAGTTGGTTATCCAGTGTTCACTGTCCCTCACAGATGTAATTAGTTTTTGGTGATCCTTGTGCCTTTTTTTTTTTCTAAATTTTTGCTTAGCTATAGTGACAACCCAGATGCTCTGGCTGTTTTCCAGGGTAACTTACTGGTAATACTCGAACTGCAATAATGCAAAATAGTTCTAGAACCTCTCTAGTTCTCTCTTTCATCTTTCAACAAGAGGGTTCTTTTCAGTCATTAAATCTGATTAATCAATGGGTATCTATTTAAATCTGTTGCCAAAGTAATTAACCCTGGAAAGTAATTCCCCTGCCAAATCAAATCAGAGTGTTTTTTTTCTGAAATGATTTTTGAAAGACAGTAGTTCCTGTCAGTTCTCTAAGAAAACTCCAGAAGTGATTTTAGAGGTGAGCCAGTTTCCTTCTTTCAGGCTCAGTGGAAGAAGAAATTCAGCCTCTTTTCTCAGTGAAGAGGTCTCCAGGTGATTGTGGCAAGAGTCTGCGTAACAACAAAGGTGTAATGGGGGAAAATTATTCTTGTTGGACAGAAATTTGAGGTTTTCCCAACCCAGAGCTCAGCAGGGCACTGATACTTTTGTTAAAAGAAAAATTAACTATGAAATAATAAGTACAGATGAGTTTTGGGTTGTTCTTTTTTCCCCCCAAAGGCTCATAGCTCAGCTCTGAAGTAAAAACAGCACATTGCAACAGGAAACAAAAGGGGCAAAATAAAGAGGCAGGAGGTCAGTGGGGCCAGAACACCTGGAGACAGCTGTTGTTGGGTCCTGTTTAGGTTTTTCTCTGGTTACGTAGATTAAAATATCATTTTTCAGAATTGTGGCACAGTTGGGGATTTGAGTAGGGAAACTACCTGCTGTTTGTTTCTCCTGTGTTCCCAGGACACAGGAGAGCTTAACTCATTATCTTTGTAAATAAGCAAGATCAGAGCAAATGATTATTCCAAATAGCTGATGAATTGCTGATACCTGAACATAGATATCCTTCAAAGGCCCTAAAAAACCTGGTTAACTGCTCAGCTGAAGGACAGTGCTCAGGCAGCCCATGACACTAATGGAAAGATGTTGTGAGACTTCAGGACAATGTTGATGGCCTCAGTTGGCACAAGTTTTTCTCTATACATACTGAAAAAAATCCAAACCCAGAAACTCTCCTGTTTCCCTAGAATATAAATGCAGAGTCCTGCTGGCTAATGAGAGGGATTCACTCTAAACTCATTATTTTGTCTTTTTTTTTTTTTTAATTAATATATTTTTAATCATAGCAGTCAAATATTGTGTTACAATCCACAACTTTTCAGACCTTTTTCACACTTAGTTTTCTTTTTCCCTCTCCTCAATAGATAATACTTTTGCACAGGGGCAAGATGACATTCCGAAGTGAATTTTGTGCTTAGACTACAATATACAGCAGAACTGCTAGAAGTGTAATGGTTTTAAATCATGTGTGCCTTTGGAAGGACACCAACACTGTATCACTGTCCTCCAAAAGAGATAAAAAGGGAGAAATAGCACACAAGTGCTCAGTTACCTTTTGGCTGCTCCCTTTGCTCTTGCTTGGCTAAAGAATTTTTCCTCTCTCTGACTGTGTGTGGCTTGAAACCACTTAAGGAATAAGCAGCTGAAATGTCAGCTAGTGCTGACATTTGCACTTACAAGAAGTCTCATGCATCAATCTGATGTTGATCTTACTTACTAAGGCAAGTAAAAGCTTCAGATTCAGTTCAGGTTTTCAAACTAGTCCTGAGTTCTCTGTCTGGTTTTAATATTACAAAGGCTTTGAGTCTTGTTGGACTTTATTCACATACAGGATGTGGACAGATTCCCTGGTGAGTCTTAAAATCTGGTTTAAATGCAGCTTTTGGACCACTAAGTGACTCCAGGCTCAGAGCACTGGGAGAGAGGAGATTCCAGCATTTTACATGGCTGCAATTGTTATTCCATACAAAAATGTACAAAACTAACACTTCGTTCTTTGCTACACTTCTTGTTCTCCTAATTTATCAACCCTGACTGTAACATCTTTATGATTATGAATTTGCAATGCGTGAGCACATAAAAATAAAGTTAAAAGGGTGTAAAGGCTGCCTGTTACTGCATCCACATATTAAGAACTTAATTAAGTAGGTGGTTAAGGAAATACAATTTGGAACTTGTTTCTGTAAATACCACTGTGAGCTGCCATCTATGCCTTGAATGAGATTTATTTGTAAAGATCTTGATTTCTATCAAATGTCTTGTACTGGCCTAAAAAACACTTTATTTGTCTTTGGGTTTTAATGTGATTTTCTTTACCCACATCGAGCATATAACATAAAGAATAACTTCCCACATTTAGTGTGAATGTAGTTTTTTCCCTGGATATTGCCACTGACCTAATGAGAAAGTCAGAGAACAAGGAATGAGAGGTGTTCACCCTCAGAAAACTACAAATGTAAAAGCAGTTATAACTTGTGATTTTCATAGTTGTTAACCCCTGATTTTGACATTATTTTAGATTGTCTTTATTTAAGGAATAACAGGCCTTCAAAATATGTCACATTTAAAATACGGGTGACAAAAGAGTTTCTATTTCCAGAAAAAGAAATGTTAGGGTTTTGAGGTTTCTCTGCACCAAAAAATAATCATATAATGTTAAATCTTGTATGTCATAAGCTGTGATTTGGGGGTAGCTCATTTGTTTTCACTGGATTGTTTGGCAGAAGGGAAGGTCTTCTGAATCCTATTTTTAACATTAAAATGCTATTGTAATTCTTGCATTTAATTCACTACCTGATGGGAAGTATATTGAATTTTTCCCCCGTCATTGTAGTATATCAAGTTTTTTAAAAGCATTTCTTCTGTGCTTTCCTGCCTAGAGATGTTTTATAAATTATGGGTGGATTGATAGATAGACAGATAGATCAACCAATTGATTTTTTTGGGTGTAAACATATTTATATAAACCTGTAGATGCACTCATATGTACATACATACATACATATATATCAGAGAGAACGACAAATTTTGGAAACAATAGATGAATTTATATTCTTCTAGCATTTGTAGGAAGGAATTTTTGCTTTTTGATTATGGTCTACCAGCATCCCAGTCTTCAGGACGTCAAGTTATCAAGAGGGAAAATACACGTTTCTTGAGACAGCTGGTAGAATCTAATCATGTTTGAGGGCTGAATATCTGAGTCTATTTAACTGCCTTCTCAGTTCATTTCCATTACCATTTACAGGATGTAAATAGCCTTTAAATATTGTGATATTGATCATAATTTGTGCTCATGTTACTATTTTACAGTGCAAAAGGTGATAATTATGTTTTTCTGCTCCCTGTTTTTACCTGTGCCCAGCACTATTCTAAGCAGAAATGTCATTGAATGCTTAATTTTTCAGAGTTTTATAGAGATGATGATGTTTAAAAGTACAGCCTCAATTGCATTTCTAAACTAACCACATTGAAGAGTTGCATATGTTTAGCAAACTTAACTGACTTGATCCTTAAGCAAGTCTTAACAGCAGTTTATAGTAGGGTTTTAAATGTATTAAATGTGAGGAGACACAGATATTGGCTTAAATCATTGGTAGTAACTAGATAGGGATGAAAAGAACTGACCCCCTGAACCTGCCTATTAAATATTGCTGGAGATTTGAATAAAGCTCAATAAAGTGAGAAGACACTTAAAATATTCCCAGTTTGGAGCAGTAGGAAGATACCTAGTGGAGCTGGTTCTAGACTGCATATATTTTAGCTATAGCAAGGAAGATTTTTTGTTTCTTTACTCCTACTTCTAGTATTTTCTAAATACTCTCTAAATGTCCATGCAGCAGCAGTGAACTTTTATTAAGTAATGGAATAGAAATTAATAAATTAATAGTAATGTAATATAAAAGTACCTGGCCTAAAGCTGAATTGAACAGTAAATAATTTTTAAAAAGTTGTTTCTGTAAAATCAGTAAAAGTCACTAAGTAGTCATAAACATGACTATATTTGTGTATTACAATCAGGTCCTACCTTCGTTATGAATTGGATACCTGCGAAAAATGGCCTTTCTAGTTGAGAAATGAAATCTTTAGAGTTATGTTTCCAGA